TTTTGTTTGTTTGAATAATTAAAAATTAGTTTCTAAAGTGATAAAGAATTTGTTAGCTGTTTAAATTTTTAAACAATTAATTTAAGAAAAAATTCTTTCTGTTCTGGGAGCCTGGGGGCATTGAAAGGACATGTTTTCATGTTTATCATGGATTTGATTTGGCTAGAACCACAGTAAGATGATTGGGTAATAAGGAATATGGCTCAACCTATCTGGATCAAACCACCGATGAAAAATTTTGATGAATATCTTTCCTGGGCTTGAACTTCCTCTCTGAGGGGCAGATTGATGTCTATACCACTTGTCTTGTTTTAAGTTAAAACATTTAAAATTAAAGTGTTTTTAAAAATGAACTTCCTGTTAGTTATTGTGTTTCAAAAATTTCTCCTTCAGAATTCTGAAATCTTGAATACATTTCTTGTGTTGAAACTGTTCTTTTGTATATAGAAACAAGTCATTGAATATAATTGAAATGCATATTCAAATAACAGAATAATCCTGTAATATACAATAATAGAAATTTGATCAATTAAATTAATAAACATTATTAATATTTTTTTTAAATACGGCAGCACGTTTAGTCTCAAAATGTTCAAAAGATCAAGTTTGTTGTTACTCTAGCACTTAACATTCTTGAGATACAAGAGAAGTAACATTTGAATGTTTCTAATTTTAGAATTTACATTTGTTTATATGTACTAAAAGCTTTGAAATCAAAATCTGGTAAATTCTTGATTTCTTACACCACATAAACTAGGTTCTGTGGTATAATTGTTTAAATTAGATTTTAATTTTTATGTTATTACTGGTTGTTATCTGTCAAATAATGCAATTCATTTAAGAATTCCTGGAGTTTTACTGGATTTTCACTTTGTTAGCAGTTATAAATGTTACTCAACAAGATCTAGAGGGGAAAAACTTAAATCCGTTTGATAACAGGGTTAATCATGTATTATATGTTTTGGAATTTGGAACTCAAATTAAGAAAACCTGTTCATGTGTGTTGCCGAACTTGCTCTTTACTAATGTCTGAAAACACTTTTGTATTTTAAAATTGTTACTCTTAATTTAAACAACTTTTTATTTTTAGTTTATATATATAGCTTATAATACACAACTTATTATAATTCATTTAAATCTTGAATGAAAGTTATTTTTATCAGCATATGATATATAGATATATATAATGATAGCTTCTAATACTTGTAAACAGTAATTTAAAGTTAATTTAAAGTAAAAAGAAATAAAATAGAATTCTTCTGAAAGATATCTTTTTACCCTAAATTAACTTTTAACACTTGAAAAACAGTAATTTAAAAAATTTTATTCTATTCAAGTCCATTTTACTTGTTAATTATGAAGCATTTAGTTAAAAATTTATAATTGAAAATTATGTGATAATTTAAAGTAAACATTTGCAGTTTTATAGTTAAAAAACTGCAATTAGCACTATTTAATGTGCTTTTTTATAATGTATATTCTTTATCTGTTTTATTGCATACAAATTAAAGTTATAAAGGGAGCTTATATGGCTGAAACAATTCAGTATATAATTTTGAAACTATTATATTCGGTAAATTTGAATATTTACGTACAAAATTTGCTTAAGTCACTGGATATAATTAACAACTCTCGAGTTCATTTAACAGCTACTTAACATCCATTTGTTAATTTTTATAGTCTATTAATGTAATTTGGTAATTGTTTTATCCTTGTATTCCATTTATTGTATGATTTCCTATTAGGTATCCTGTAAAAAAGTCGACACTTATCCAACAGGCAATAAACGGGACATTACAAAAATATGAAAAATAAATGGAACATTAAGGGAAAAAATTTATTTATTACTTCCATGCTATAATTTGGAAAACAAGTAATAAAATTTAAACAGTGTTTTAAACTTTAATTTTTCTTTGAAGATGTTAATCTTTGTGAAACTTTTTGTTGTATAATTTATAAACGTTGTTAATTGTTTTCCCAAATATGTTGTTAATTGTTATGCAGTTTAAATCATCGAATGGCGGAAGACAATCACAACAGTGCAGGCTAAGTTTGCAATTTTAAAAATGTGGAATGAGTATGTGAGATTTTCAAGCATGCAAATCCTTGACCAAACAAGAACAGGAAGCACAGTAACAATTTAAACGAGTAATGCTTGACAAGATGTTTCCTCTATAAATAAAAAATTTTAAACAATACTATGGCAAACAAAACTAGAAATGTAGTATTTTACAAAATGACATTTCCTTAAAGAAAATACTGTATTTTTAAAAAAAAATTCCAATAAAATAAAAGGGATAAAGAATGAATTGAATTATTGTTATTAAACTTAAAAATATTTGAATAAAAAGAAAACTAAATAAAGATTTTAATATGTCAACACAGTCAGAAAATAAAACATAAAATAGTTTAGTCTGAGAACAGAGTTTACATTTAATGTTTTGAAAAATTCAGTGTGTATTGATAGTTAGTAATGATATATTGGGAAAGAATGCTGTCATACACATGACTAAGTTTAGTAGAATGCACAATAATTGACAATCTTTAAAGTATTGCTAATAAAATTTATTCATACGTTATTAGTTTGTTTCAATGAATATTATTTAATAGTGTTTCTTGTTTCAATACAAAGACAATGAGAAATGAAAGCAGAGAATCATCTAAATAATTAAGTGAAATTATAATTAAAAATCATTACTTTTAATGTCTGACATGAAAATTCTTGGATTCATTTAATTAAATATTTATTTTAGTTTAATAAAGAACTTTAAGTAGGAAAAATATGAATTTTTTATTGCTTTTTAATTATAATTGTTAGGCATTTTCATGCAATTGGGTGGATATAAGAAGAGTGTTCAACGATTTCTTATTTATTTCATTAATAAACTGTTCTCAGCAATTACTGAAAAATAATTTAATTTGATTTGAAGGTATTAAAATGCATGGAAAACGTAGCAAAAATCAAAAATAATTGCTAAATAATAATAATAATAATAATAATTTTTATAAGTTAGTATTTTAGGTCACCAAGGGAGTTTTCTTCAGTCAAAACCAGTTGAATATTTGTGAAAGTGTTTGTAATGTTGTCCAAATTAGATTGTACATGAATGTGGCTCTATAAACAGAATTAACAATAGTTTCTGAATTGTCTATTCATAAGAATTTTTAGTTAAATAAAATTTATTTGATACAGATTTAAATATGAATATTATTAAATTTTGTAATACAGTTTTTAGAATATAATATTGAGACGTTTCACCTGCCACACATGATGGTGTGGTTAAAATGAACTGTTTTGAATTAAGAATAGCTTAGGTGTTGCTAAATGTTTTTTAGTATATGTAATTTACTGTGTAAAATAGTGGTTGTATATGAAGTTGATTTTTTCTTTGGATCACCCTGTGGACATTATGATGGCCTTTTATCCTATTAATTATGGGTTTGGACACACACACACACACACACACATGTCTGGCACCGCTCTGCATAGCCAGTTAACATATAAAAACATTAAATAATTGCAATTTCAATTACATATATTATTTTTACAATATTTTACAATATATTTTTAAGATTTATATGAAGTATAGTTCCTATAAAGCCCATCTTTACATGTACATTGGTGGTTGAATAATGTTGTCAAAGTCCAAAGGGCTTTGACAACATTATTCAACCACCAATAGCAATCATTCAGATGTCCATATCACATATATGGGTTTGGACAGACTCACAATGGAGCACCTAACTTTTGAAGGATCAGTGCATCAAATCACTCATGAAAATTTTGGAACATCCAATCAGGACTTTATGCTCATAACTCTGAGGAATCCATGTTCCTCAAAGTTATAAGATAACAGCTTTATCATCTTAGTCATTTTGATTCTAGACTAAATATTTCTTCCAAATATTGACTACACAATTCATTTTCTAAGCTTAAATTTTCATATATTAATTAATTTATCTGTAAATATATTTCATAGCTTATCTCATTACATTGTGACATTATGTCAACTTGTTTCATTTTTTACTTTTATAAACAAAGTTTATGTATATTTTCTACATTGTATATAACCTTTGTAACAGTTACATTTAAAAAATTCAGTTTTTTGATAAAAAAAATAATTTCAACTAAACATAATAACAACAAACCATAGTATCTACAGAGAATACTGTTCAAACAGTAGACCCTATTAAAAATTAAATATATAAAATATTTTTTATGCCTTTATGAAAGAAAAAATAAATGTAAGAAAGTCTTGGAAAAAAATTAATTATAATTTAATTTATTAAATAATTATTATTTTTTTTAAATCCCAAGTATAATTTCTATTTATTACTGTGTTGAATGTTTTAGAAGTAGATACACAATTGAAGTTTATCGTAGACTTTTGGAGCTGCGGGTATAACATTTCTGACACACAATACATTCATTTAGATATAGTGTTTTAGGCAGTATAAATTATCAATTTGTCGATTATAATGTTTCGAATTTAATTAATGTAATTTTATTACGTTGCTTGCTATTTGGTTATTACTTATGTTTATAGAACATTATTTATTTATAATTTAAACAAGATTTGTTCAGTTTTAATAGATACCAGATGTTGTTTTAATAGTTAATTAAGAGACTGATGTACTGAATATAATATTTAATTGCCTTTTCCTCCCCCATAAAGGATGAACTAACATTTCTGTTTTAACTTGATATTCTTAATTATGTTTCAGTTTTAATGGTATTAAAAATAAATTTTTTATTTGCTTAATTTTTATTTAATTCAGTAAAGTTACACTGAAATTAATTGATTAAAAAGTAATGTTTGTTAAAACTGTGCAATTTTATTTTTAATAAATGTAATTTTTTTCTAATATTTGCCTGTCAAAAATAGTTTTTTTTTTATGATGATAAAAAGAGTTTAAACAATTGTGTGAAATCTATTTATATTTTTCTCCACAATAGAAAGTATTTTAAATGATAAAAATCTATGTATTTATCTTTTCAGGGTCCACCACCTCAACCTGGACAGCCTTTTAAATTCACAGTTACTGAATCATGTGATAGGATTAAAGAAGAATTCAGTTTCCTACAAGCTCAGTATCATAGGTGTGTATATTAATTTGAAAGTTTAATGCTTATATAATTTAGAAGGTTGGTTTAGAATATATTTTCTTTTCTTTTAAGACGTTATACTTCGCTGCATCCATTGTTCATTCGACATGAATAGATGAGATAGAAACTATTATTTCCTCAGCATTTAATAAAGTATAGTTATAAAAATCCATCTACAGGTAGAGATCATCTAACATATTTATTTACGCATCTTAAAAATTTTATCTGTTTTTAGGTAACTATTTCTCAAATAGATATATTGTTTTTACTGAAAACATATTTAGTATGTTGCTCATTTTTACATATTTGTGTAGGAACAATTAGCCTATTTAGCAGTCGTAGCCTTATTTTTATTGATTCAGAATATTGTTAACAGATACAATGTGACAAAATTTCTAAAAAGTTGATTGGTTAAGCCGTTAATCTGAAGTTTGACAATTAGCAGTTTAGTTTGTCTGCCTAAAATTGCCCGTTGTACTGATATCTTCTGACTTATTATCTCAATCTTTAATGTAACGATAAAAATATGATAATTTGTATAAGATATAAAAACATTATTGTTTGCCCAGCATATATTTGTTTTCACAACAAGTCTTGTATTGCAGATAATTTATATCTAATGCATTTTGTACTTTATCTGTTGCATCAGTCGTCCTTCGGAAACATTCTTAAGTATATTTATAACATAATATTAGTTGTGTGCTTAGGTTTTTAATCTACTTTTGTTACTTAAGTTGCTTTATATTTACAAAACCATTAACCATTAACCACCAAGTAAAGTTTCTTTTTGTTGTTAAGACTATAAATTACTTCTTCTAAGACTACATTTAAACTGGAATGGTTTTTAACAATAAATATTTTTAAAGAATTTAATGCTTTTAGTGTGTTATTTGTATTTTTTAAGTGTGTTTAATTATTAAGAAGAATAAAGTTTTATAAAAACTTTATTAATGATCATGTTTACAGTAAGAATCTTTGATGGGCTGATTTAAGCTGCACTTCTGAACTTTTATTCAATTCTAGGCCATGGTTTTTGTTACAAGCCAAAGTAGTTAACAATGATCAACTATTTGTCCAAAAGCAAGGATTACCTTGCATAGAAGTTGGTCTAAATTAGTTTCAGATAGTTATAGTCAACTAGTTGCCTCTTCTTTAGGGCTGTTACCACAGAATATTGTCTAAATCAGCGGTTTTCAACCTGTTTGTTTCTCTGGGCCGCATTGGAAGAAGTCAAGTAGTTTTAGGCCACAAGTATATATAATATATACTTGTGGCCCAATATACAAATATATTTAAGGATTAACATGTCTAGATTATAATAATAAGTATTAAAACTTTATCACAAAAAAGGATATTTTAAAAAATTACTTCTACAGACACTTATTTTTACTTAGAAATAGATAAATTCAATTATTATAAAAGAGACAAACAAAAATTTATTTGAAAAAACAAATATTTGTTTTATTTGGGTCTCTAATTAATAAAAAGCAATGAAACACCCATTTTAAAGTGCATTTTTATTCAACTAATATATTTATAAATAATATGTAGCCCAAAAAGTAGTCAATGCACCAAATGATAATTTCTATGTCAAACAAAAAAAAGTAGCCACGTTTGGCACAAATGTAGACAAATCTTGCAACGTTGGAAGAAATACTAAATAAAGCTGGAGTTGTGACTCAAAGGATTATAGACCCAAATATGGGGAAAGGAGAGAAAGGACAAAAGATAAAGAAATGAGAAAGATTGGAAAATTAAGGGTTAATATTTGCATAACAGAAGATCTATTTAACCTTTCTCACTACTTTTTATCTTTTGTCCTTTCTCACCTTTCCCTCTTTTCCCAAATTTGGGTTTATAATCCTTTGAGTCACAACTTCAGCTTTATTTAGTAATCCTTCCTCTTTCACACATCTCCAAGTATTTGAAAATATTTCCTTTCCACTCAAATATAAAATATGAATAAAGGTTTATGACTTTGTGAAACTTCTTTTTTGAGTTTATGCCATTGAAATAAATAAATATTAAAAATATTAAAACATTTGTCAGCTTTGTTTACACATTTATTGGGCCACATTGGAATTTGACTTGGGCTACATTCGCCCCGCAGGCTGGAGACCCCTGGTCTAAATCATGATTTAAATTGGATTTTATTTTCAAAATCAGTTTCATAATTTTAACTAATTTTGCAGTTATATACAATTATAACATAATAAAATCATTCAATAATTTAAAACATTTAGGAATATTATAACTTTGTAGTTGTGTGCCATAACCTTACATACAAACAAATGTCTATCAATCAGTTGCTAATGTGACAAGTTAATGTACCAGAATTTATTGAAGCTCTGGTGTTTCATTTCTCTCTATTATCTTTACATAGTTTTTATTAGAAGGTGACTGTTTATGACCACTTTCTAAGGCCTTTATATTTAGTTTGTATTTCATATTGTAGCACTTTTTAAGCAATATATTTGCATCCAGTACTGTATGTAAGAGTTATGGAGTCACAAAGAGATCTTGATACTATAGTGAAGACTTTGTTTTGGATTGTCTGATTTGCATTACTTTTCTCCTTCAGTGGAAGGACATAATTGTACCATATCAATTATATCTTAAATACTAAGAATGACATTGCTATATAATTGTCGGCTTAAGAATAATCACGTTTCCCTATTGTGAAAATACAAGAAGAAAACTATTTTGTTTGATAATTATTACTATTTGACGCATTTAAATTTATTCATTGCATTAGATTGTGTGAAAACTGATGCATAACATTTTACTTTGATACAAAGTCTTATATTTTAATTTCTGAGCAGAAGTGTTCTTCTTTTTTCTTGAGAAAAAAGAAAAAAAAATTAATGTTTGGTTTTCCTAATGTGCATTAATGTAAAATTTACAGTATATAAATCAACAAAAATAATGTAGAGTATGCCCTTAAGTGAAACTGGTTACAGTCAACATGAAAAAAATAAGATTAGGAAAGTAGTGACATAATATAAATTTAATCAGCCAATAAAAATTTTATACAAAGTGAGTTTAAATCTCTTATAGATGTGGATGCTTTCGAGTCTTATTTTAAATTCTTTTGAAGCTTGTATTAAAATCAAGTAAAGTATATTTCATTTTTGATAATATATTAGAAATATTTTAAGATTTTATTGCAAGTAGATAACTAGTTTTTGAACTTAAAATCATTTGAAATATCTTTCAATGTATATAAAACTTTAAGGCAATTCCTGTATAATCAATGATTTTAAAAGTTTTATCTTGAAACGAAGCACTCAAATAAGAATATGAAAAAAGACTTTCAGAGAAATGTCGAGCGAGTGGAAAGGATGAGAGAGAACCTTTACAATCTCCATGCATTTATTTTTTAAATATGTTACATTCGAAAAGCTTGTTATGTTGAGTTCATATAAACTTAGGTGTATAGACTATGCATTGTTTTACTTTCAAAGACAATGAAATGACTTTTTTTTTCTGACAACTTTTTATCTTTAAATTGATGTAAATGATGTGCACCATTGATAATGTACAAACGGAATAGTTTTAAAAAATTCACTACATTATGAAGGGACGAAAAATGAAGTTTGCCAAAATTAAGGTAGGATTATAAAGGCTTTTACTACAGGTTTAAGAAAAAATTTCTTTTGTTTTGATGATAATTTCAGTATCTGAGCAAGAAGAGTGTAGGAAAGAGTATATAAGGATCATATCTGATGTAGACTATTGTATAGTTACACACATTCATGACAGATAAGAAAACAAAGAACAGTAGCACTGAAATATAATAATAGAATGATGCTTTATCATTCTGTAGATTTAAGTTTTTAAATAATAGAAACTTTTTGTGAATGAAAGTGTTATTATTATTATTATTATTTTTTTTTTTTAATAGTAAAAAAGAAAGATAGTATATGATACATAATTGAAACAATTGATGAACAATACTAATGAAAGCATAAGTTGTAGAAAAAAATTAGTTGGAAATGCATTAAAAAAAATTATTATATAGAGAATATAACTTGAATATAGCTCAATTTAATTTCTAGGTGATGCTGTCTTCAATTATTGCCAATTAATGATAGATAAATTCATATGATCTATACTTTGATTTGTTATTAAACACTGAATTAACAAGTATAAACACATAGCATTCATAGGGGAAAGAAAAAGATTTTTAACTAGTAAATCATCATTTTGGTGTATTTTCTTTAATGATTAGCATAATTTTTTAAAGTAATTTGTAAACATCAATCAGATTATCAAATTAAGTTTGGAATTTTATCAGGTGTACTTCAATTTAAGTGAATTTGTAAGAAAGAAAAAGCTAAAAAAAATTAGGTATTAATGACGTAACAGCACTTTATTTGCAAAATGATGTCAGATAAAATGTAAAGATGAAAATTAAAGGATTTTCTTACATGTTTGCATAATGGTACTTTTACACTTATGATTTATGATGAAAATATTTATTATTATTATTGTTATTATAGCAACAATGATGATGATGACAATGATAGAACAGAAAAATAAATTCCTATTGAGAATTGTAATATGTTGTCTTTCTCTCTTTTTTTTTAATAAAGCGCATTAACCATCTGTGCTGTTTGGACAATTATTGTTTGTCATTTCTTGGTTAACACCTTAGTTTGCTCTATTGTGTTCTATACTCTATTTGTCAGTTCATCTAAACAATATTCAGATTTGTATGGCTATTGACGGCACAATATGTGAAGCTGTTAAAGAAGAAATGAATGAGAAAGTTGATAATCAAAAATGAATGATGATAAGTTAGAAAAACAAGAAGATTGTTTAGTTAGAAAGTGCATTTAGTGCATCTATTTGTATAGGTATATAAAAAAATGCACATCTGCTCTGAAAATTATGTGTATTTTATTATTTGGATTAAGCCATCATTTCTTTCTTCATTTCTTTCTTAGTTGATTAACATTAATTACATTTATTCTTAATATTAGATAATTAAA